CGTGCCATCATTGTGGGCTCCAACCTTGGTGCAAATGTGACGCTCATTGGCTCACTTGCAGGGCCGATGTGGGCTGGCCTCTTGAAGCAGAAGTCTCTGAAGATGAACCATTGTATGTTCATGAGAGTGATGACTCACATCACACCGCTTGTAGCTTTTGTAGCATTCGGTACGCTTCTAGTGACGCAGTAGGGGTAGATCGGTTCCTGGTGCCGGGCATGTACGTGGTTTGTCATGCCATTTAGTCGTTGAGATTTCAATGGCTGGGCATACGCGGCAAACGCTGTTCGCTGTGAGTGCAGATATCCAGGATCACATTAGCCTCCGAGGCCGAGGCCTCACCAGCTGCGTGCCGAGGTTTTGCTTGTTTCTCCAGCGCGTGTGGTTCCATTACAGCCGGAAGTATCACGCTGGAGTGTGCCGCACCTCGCATCCAGTAGACTCTTTTTTCGCACCTGACTCTGCCAAACGAGCTCGAGTTGCATTTTCCAAACGTCAGTAGGTGACATGTTTAGGCCTGCTGGTGTACAACGCCCGTCGAAGTAAAACAACAACAGCCTCTGACACATCAGAGCATGCATGAGGCATTGATCCAGGTCGAGTATGCGCATGCGTTTATGTATGCGTGCGCGTGCGATTTTACCGCTCAGAGGTCCAGCGTAAGGGATGACCTTTACCGAGGCATGTGTTTCCTGTTTTAATTCTGACGCAAGGTGGTCAATTAGTGATGAATATGGCCCGTCATTGCTTAGCCGAAGACTGTATCCACCGCCGCGCTGGGGGGCGGGGGGTATGCGCGTTGAGCTAGGTCGCGTACGCGTCTGCGTGTGAGTGCGCATGCGTGTGGATGTGCGCATGCGTGTGCGCATGCGTGTTTGCGAGCATCAATGTTTGTAAGAAGACGTGTACGCACGCGACCCTGTCACTCTAACTTCGCATCTGCTGAATGCGCCAATGAAAAGAGGGATCGAGAAACGGCATCCTAGTTGCATATCCGTAGCGCTGCCACGTTTGTTGGGCCACATTCCCAGACGTGGGTGCGGGATGGGCGCAAGGGTCGAAGAAACCACAGGCGAGAACTGGGACGCACCGCATGATTTGCTAAAAAGCCCACTTCACTCATCAGTGTGTTACCAGTTCCCCGCCCGCCCCCAACTGGTGGTGGCAGAGCCTGACGGTGTGCGTGCCCTGGGAGATCCGGAAGAGGGAAACAAGTAGTAAACACCCCCCCCTGCCCCCCAAACTCAAAGTTGGCACGCGAGGGGGAGACTGCGGTCGAGGTGCAACTCATCAGCCCCGCCGCCGACTGAACATTTTGGGGGAGGGGGAGGCGTTGGCAGATTCATGTGGCATGAGTTCACCAGTTTGAAACATATCCCTATCCCTATGTTTGACATCACCTCGCCTCGATGCCGATCTTAAGGATTCCCTCAGTTTCTGAGGGCCTATCCTAAGATTGTCCTCGCTTTTTGCTCGCCCATCTTAGGGATAGGGATAAGTTCGAGGCTGGTTATGAGTGTTCGCTATTCTCTTCTCCGAGGCCTGTCTGCCTGCCCGCCTGGAGCAGTCCAGTGGCCTGGCGGCTCCCCACCAGACCCCCAAAGACCTCCGAGGTGCGCTCGCGTCCCGCCGCCCGCACCCGCGAGGCCACGGCCTCGCCCGCCAGGGTGCCCCAGAGGGCCATTTTTCTTACCAGCCTCGAGCGCATCCCTACCCCTAAGAGTGACACGCCAAAAGGCGATGACAATCTTGGGGATCCGCCCTCAAAAACTAAGGGAACCCCTAAGATTGGCATCGTGATGAGGAGGTGCCCAGCATACAGTCGGGGCGCTGAAGAAGGAACCCTTTTCGTTGGGGAGGGGCTCGGTGTTCCTTGATTGTTCCAAAGTTTGCCTCGGGTTTCCCTGAGGTTCCCCATGGGAGGTCGAGGCTGAACTTACGGGAACAGGGGGCCTCGTTCCTCAATTCGGGTTCCTTAGGTCAACGCCCCGACCGTAGGGATAGGGACATGTCCCATGGGCCGGTAAGAATTTCTCGAGCGCCCCAGCGCCTGGGCCGTCTTGGCCAGCAGGCGGGCGGGCCCCTCGACGCCTCCGAGCCCCAGGGGGGGGGGCCGGTGCCGATTTTTTCCCCGGCGCGGGCCTCCCAGAGAAGTCCGAGGCCCAGGGGGGCCGCGGGCGAGGTGCTCCTCCTCCTCCTCCTCCGCCTCCTCCTCCTCCTGCTCCTCCTCCTCCTCCGCCTCCTCCTCCGCCTCCTCCTTCCTCCTTCCTCCTCCTCCTCCGCCACCACCCCCTTCTCCCCCTCCTCCTCCTCCGCCTCCTCTTCCGCCTCCTCCTCCTCCTCCGCCTCCGCCTCCTCCTTCGCCTCCTCCTCCTCCGCCTCCGCCTCCGCCGCCTCCTCCTCCGCCCTTCCCCTTCCCCAGGTGAGGCGCTTCCATCCCGGATCACTTGTTCGAGGTCCCCGGGGTCCAGGGAGCGAACCCCAGACGCCGAAAGTGGCAAGCAGTTTTGGGGCATTTGGCCCAATATTCAGTCGGGCCTGTCTGTACAGGGGAAAACTCAAAAGTAGCAAAAAAAATAGTCTGGGGACTATGTTTTGAATATTTGTTATTTTTGTTGGTGTATTGTTTGGGTATTTTTTTGATTTTTCGCCCAAAATCCCCCTGTAGGGGGACGTGCCCGACTTCAGCCCTGTACGGAATACCTCGAGGGGCCCATCTGTACGTATGTTCGCGGGCGGGAAACATTTCCGCATCCGCGGCCTGGCGGTCCAGACTCCTCCACCGCGACCTTGTGGGTACAGGGCGACTTTGCACCGATGCCCCGCGCAGAAAGGTCCCATGAGATCGCGTATCCATGGGATCGTTCCTCCGTGTTCAGACCTCGAGGGCGCGCCGACGTCGCCAGGGCATCGGCGACGTCCCCCATGCATCGCTGATGCGTCGCCGATGCATTGGTGATGCATTGGCGACGCAGCGCGATCCCCCGACCCCATCTACTCCAACCCGGTCTAGGAGGCCTCTGGTATGGAGGAGGGGGGTGAGCTTCTTTGAAATAGGCTGCTTCTTAGAAAGCGCGCGTGAGCGCCTTCGCCTCCAACGCAGCGTGCAATGTTGGTGGCCCGCGTAAGCCGCGGCGTCGGGTCGCTATGACATCTCGCGTAAGACCCGCTTCTTTTGGTCGATCTGGTGCATTTCGTCAGGGTTCACTACCCACGACAGTCGAAAACCGATGGTAAGGACGGGTGACCATCCCAAGATTATGCTTTATATCCTTACCTCCTCGGTCCGTCCTCAACCCCTTTCGACAGCCAGCCCCGCTCGAAAAGCTTCGAAATCGGCGTCCAGAGTGGCTTGCTTCCTTATCGCGCATCCTAGCTATCAGTTTTGATTGCACACCACCCCGGTCCAACCCGAAAGCTTCGAGTTGCCCCTCCGTTCCCAGTGGAAACGGGTGCCCCAGAACATAGCAAAACCCAGATGGAACCCGTACGCCCCGCAACCCGAAATTTGGAACTTCGGGTTGGGTTGGGGTAGTCTGTCGCAGGTGACTTTGCTCCCCCCAACCCCGAGGTTCGCCGAAAAACTTTGGCCGCTCAGAAAAAGAGGGAAACCCTGGGATACACCCCAAGGTGGCTATTCGGACGCACCACTATCGAGGATGAGCGCCCCCCAATCGTATATCCTGGGGTTTGGGCTCAAATTTCTGCTTCATTCGAAAACCCCACGCTGTCTGGGATAGGGGTCGACATATGCCCTGTTGGTCTGGTCGGTAGTCAAGGGTGCCCTGGGTTTCTCTGCTCCGCGCGCGGCGCGGTGATCTTCCCACGGCCGTCAGAGGAGCTGCTGCCAGTAGAGGGCTCCGAGTTCCCCCAGGTGCAGTTCCCGCGAGGGGGTTCCATGCGAAGGCTTCTTGCGGCCGCATCCACACTGCAAATCGCTCCAGAACGTTTTGGGACGCTCTCGGGGCGCTCCAGAGCGCTCTGGGAAGCCCCCGGGTGGCCGCTGCATCCCTCGGCACCGCCGGACCTCGGAGGCTCCCGATCCGTCCCGACCCGATGCCCTCCCGATCCTGCCCCCGCCTGGCGTCGGGGGCCCCGGCGGCCCTCGCTGTAGGGAGGTACGTAGCCGTCGGCGTCGGAGCTACCCAGCGCTTGGCATCGCTCGGACGTGTGCATTTTTTCTTATCGCTGCGTCGCATGGGGGGGGGGCTTGCGCCACGCTTGCGCACCAGCGGCGCCGCGCGCGCGTGTCAGCGGGGCCGCGCGCGCGCGCGTGCCAGCGGCGCCGCGCGCCGCTCGCGCGCGGCACTGGGGCCGCGCGCGCGTGCCAGCGGGGCCGCGCATGCGGTCCGCGACCACACAGGACCTGACGAGCGAGGTGGGGCCTACACTCGGCGAGGACCATCGAGGAGCATCCTCGACCATCCGGCGAAGAAACCACGCACGAAACCGAAAAAAACACACAGGAAATGGACGTCCGAGCGATGGCCAGGAGCGGGGCGTCGCGCCTCCCGCGGGCCTCGGCGACCTCGGCGGTGCCCGTCGCCCGCGCCGCCGTCGGCGGCGCAGCGCACTGCTGCCGCCGCGCGGCGGGAGCGGCGGCGGTCCCGCCCTCCGCAGCGCCGGCCCCCGCCGCGGGGCCCCCACGCGGGCAACCCAGGGGGAAGAGGAGGAGGAGGAGAGGACGAGGAGGAGGAGGAGGAGGAGGAGGAGGAGGAGGAGGAGGAGAGGACGAGGAGGAGGAGGAGGAGGAGGAGGAGGAGGAGGAGGAGGAGGAGGAGGAGGAGGAGGAGGAGGAGAGAGGAGGAGGAGGAGGAAGAGGCGGAGGAGGAGGACGGAGGAGGAGGAGGAGGAGGACGAGGAGGAGGAGGAGGAGGAGGAGGAGGAGGAGGAGGATGAGGAGGAGGAGGAGGAGGGAGAGGACGAGGAGGGGGAAAGGGGAGGAGGGGGGGAGGAGGGCGTGGGGGAAGCAGGAGGCAACGGGAGAACGCCCCCCGCAGGCTTCGGTGCTCAACGACCCCAGGAGCGGCAACCGGCTGACTCGCGCGGACCTCGGCTCCGGGCCTGCGCGCGTGCGCGCGCGCTTTGGCCACTCACTTCGCCAATTCCGGCGTCCCCGCGGCGATGTTTCCGGGCCCTAGGGGCCGTCAGACAAGGGCCTGGGTTAAGACACCCTTCCTTGGGCTCGCTGTCCCTCACGTCATCCCGTGGCCGTTCTTGTAGCCCTCCCCGTGCACTCAGGCGCATTTGGCGCCAAAAGAGGGGCACACATGCTCGCCTTCAGTGAGGGCACAAGTTCTTGCCATAATGTTTGCCCTCAGGGTACTCTGGTCTGGTTTTTCTGCCCTCAGCGAGCTGCCGCAATCCCGATACCTGCAGACCGTTCCTTTGGTGGGGGCGTTTTAGTAAGGAATGTCCGCGGTGAGCGTGAGCCCCTGGAGGGTTCCTTCTCTAATGAGGGCGGTGGTGATATCCATGGCCGATGCACGATTGGAGTTCCCTTGGCTTCCAGACCTGACCTTGGGTTCCTTGTTCAAGGGTTCTCCATCCAGTGTCTTTACCGAAAAGGTGAGAGCGCCAGTATTTTTTTAACACAGAACAATCATTGAATGGTGCCTGTTGAGGCCCTATGTGTGTTCTCTTGTGGGCCTTTTCGAGCGTCTTGGCAGCCTGGGCTGTAAGGAGGCCATCTTCGGCGTCTTGGACCGATCGTTCGGCGATTCGGGGCCCTCTTGGGCCGTCTTGGGAACCTCTTGGGCTGTCTTGATGCTTTTTGGGCCCCAGGACCCGTCGGGGGAAGATGGTCCCCCGCAGGGACACCTCCCTCTGGGGGGGAAGTGAGCTCATTGCCGCCATCCCGATGCACGCAAGCCGTTCCTTATTTAATCGCTTTGCTCACTCCGCCCTCCTCCCTCCTCCTCCCCGCGTCCTTCTGCCTCCCCCCTCCTGCCCCCCCCCCTGGCGGTCCTCGCGACCGGGGCGCCCACCACCGGGGCGCCTGCCGAGGCGGGGAGGTGACGAGCCTCGAAGACTTCTGGGACGCCGTGAGGGAGGGCGTTGAGGATCCCAGCCGCGGCGGGGCCTCGAGGATGCTCTTGGTCCTCCCCCCAGGCCTCCCCTTCCTCCTACCTCCTCCCTCTCCTCCCTCCTCCCTCCTCCTCCTCCTGCACCCTGATCCTCCCTCCCTCCCCCAGCCCTCCTTCCTCCTCGCTCTCCCCTTCCTCCTCCCTCTTCCTCCTCCCTCCTCATCCTCCACTTCCTCTTGTTTTTTTGTTTGTTTCTTCTTCTTCTATACAACTTCTCCCTGTCGCACCCCCCGTGGCCAATTTTTGGGGCGGGCCGGGCGTTTCGCCCGAGACTTCCCCAATATTTAGGACCCTGAAAAGTCAACAGTAGAAACAGTTTCACAGATGGAGGGCGGGTGGTTTTCAAAATGGGACTCTCGCCTTAGCGCCGCGCACATTCGTTTTCAAACTTTGCAAGAGTTCACGGATTGAGGTTTCAACATGCTGCTCTCGCTTGAGCGCCGCGCACACTCGTTTTCAACATTTGCACAATTTTCACGGATTGAGGGCGGATGGGTTTCAAAATGTGGTTCTCGCCTTAGCGCCGCGCACATTCGTTTTAAACATGTGAAAGAGTTTCACGGATTGAAGGCGGTTCTTTTTCAACATGTGGTTCTCGCTTTAGCGCTTTGCACATTCTTGTTAACACATCGCAAGAGTTTCACGGATTCCCGTGATCGGCGTACGAGGAATTTTGTTTCGGAAGCATTCACGATTATGAGGGTGCAACAGTTACGATGACTCGCGGTATTGAATTCCCAGGAATGGCGTTCTGCTGCGATTCAGGATCGGCAAAGCGCAACATTCAGGTTTGTCCGTGGCGTTGGAATACCGCGACTAATGCTTTCGCATGTTTCAGGGTCTTCAAATAGCTGTCTTCCAACGAGGCAGGTCCCTCTGTGGAAATGAACCGTCGCAGGGGCCTGTGAAGAGGTAGCTCGGGGGGAGGATTTATTCCAACATCGTTGGTGACGTTTGGGTTTACACTGGTCCTCCTCCTCCTTCTCCTCCTCCCTTCTCCTCCTCTTCCCCCTCCTCCTCCTCCTCCTCCTCCTCCTCCTCCTCCTCCTCCTCCTCCTCCTCTTCTGTCTCCAGCACCTTGCTCCTCGATGCTGAAGGCAGGTTCGGCGTTGACAACCGGACCCTGCGTCGCGGGCCTTCCTGCGGAGGGGCCGGTTTGTGAGGATAGGCGACGCGAATTTGCCAAGAAGAGGGGCTACCCCGGGCGGCCCTCCTCCACAGCCTCCTCCTCCTCCTCCTCATCATCATCTTCCTTCTCCATTCCTTTTCCTTCTCCATTCCTCCTCTCCTCCTCCTCCTCCTCCTCCTCCTCCTCCTCCTCCTCCTCCTCCTCTTCCTCCTCCTCCTCTTCCTTCTCCATTCCTTTTCCTTCTATGTGCATCTCCCTGTCGCACCCCGAAGACAGCTTTCAGGGCGGGCCGGGCGTTTCGCCTGAGATTCACCCTTGATGACCTTGAAGCTTCGACATTGGCAATGCGTTCACAGATGGAGGGCGAGTCGTTTTCAGAATGTGGCTCTCGCCTTCAGCGCCGCGCACATTCGTTTTCAACATTTGCAAGAGCTTCGCGGATTAATGGTGGGCCGTTTTCCAATTGTGGTGCCCTCCCTAGCGCAGCGTAAATTTGCTTTAAAGAAATGCAGCAGTTTAACGGATTGAGGGCGGTTCTTTTTCAACATGTGGCTCTCGCTTTCACGCCGCGCACATTCACGAATTTCACGGATTCCCTTGATCGATGTCACAGAGATTTTGTTTTGGAAGGGTTCGCGATTACGAATGTGCAACAGTTGCGATGATTCGCGGTGTTGTAATCCCAGGAATGGCGTTCTGGCACGATTCAGAATCGCTAGGAAGCAACAGTCGGGTTGATCCGTGGCGTTGGAAGCCCGAGAACATTGTTTTGGCATACTTCAGGGTCTTCAAACGGTTGTCTTCCAACGAGACAGTTCCCTCAGTGGACATGAACCGATGCAGGGGCCCGTGAAGAGGGAGCTTGGAGGGAGGGTATATTCCACCATCGTTGATCAATCGTGGGTTTACACTGGTCCTCCTCGTCCTCCTCCTTCCCCTCATCCTCGTCCTCCTCCTCCTCGTCTTCTCCTCCTCCTCCTCCTCCTCCTCCTCCTCCTCCTCCGCGCCCCTGCCCCTTAAAGGAGCTGAGCAGCGCGAGAGACGGCGACTTGCCTGTGGCCGACGAGGCCGCCGTAGGAACGCGACCCCCCCCGCCCACCCCACAGGCGCCGCTGCGGAACATGGGAGGGTGATGATGATGAGGAGGAGGAGGAGGAGGTTTCAATGAGTGTGCTGAAGTTGGGCCAGGATTCGCTCCAACCCGTCACCGCGACAGCGGGCTTAGCTGAAAGAGGCCCGTGCATTTCTACGCACCATCTACGCCCGCGCTGGCGAGGTGGCCAACAATGCCTGTGGTCGCGGCGCCACGGAGGTGGTTAAGTACTGGCTGCGCTTCGACGGTGCACGACCGCAGAGGTCGCGATGCCAGCGCAGAGTGTTTCTGGGAAGCTCCGAGGCGTTCAATCTAGCTGAATCGTTATCCTGGTTCTCTAGCTTCGCATTCGGGCTTTCAAGGACATCCTCTTCACTGCGCACCTCTCCGGCACTCGCGCCCATGGAGTACATGTTCTTCTTCCGCGCGCCCCCCGCTTCCCGCCGTTTCTACCTGATGCCTCAATGTGCCTCGGAAGCGCCCCTCCGTCGCTCGAATGCTGATTGAGTCAAGCGGCCGCGGATCCAAGTGTTCCTGGGATGCGTGAGCTGTTCTCTGGTGCGACCACCAGTCGGATGCGTTCACAGCCCTCTCTGGCGCGGAGAGACTCTCGGCGCGTGGTGGCTCGAAGTCTTCCTCCCCGAATCTACCGACGACGGATGGTTTGGACCAGTGGTGGGTGCAGTTGTATTGGGCGCATAAGATATCGCGAGAGAGAGAGAGAGAGAACAACACATTTTCATATATGTACATACATATAGAGAGGGAGAGAAATCAGTTGTTGGATGTCGAAGAGAATGGCGAGATTGAGTATACATGGGCGACGTAAACACGGCGCCGAATGAGCGGACTCTTGCGCGCAAGGCCGCGCGTAAGCGCCCTCCCTCTGCATGTGGTATGCCGCGCTTTCGGCCTGCGTAAGACACCGTGTGGGCCTGCTGTGTCCTCTGCGTCAGGACCCCCGATTAGTCTGCCGCTCGAAAGCACGAGAGGAGGACGTGGCAGGAGGATCCGCACAAGGCATCTCAACACCAACGTGCCTGGCAAGGGCCATTCTGGGGCCTGGCAAGGGCCATCCTGGGCTCCAGTTGGTGTACAGAGCCTCCCTGTCTCGGCCAGGAGGGCGTACACACCCTGCCAGGGCCCGAGATGGTCCTGGCCAGTCATGGCGGTGGTGCACGGGTACCCTCTGCGTACGAGGAGGAGGAGGAGGAGGAGGAGGAGGAGGAGGAGAATGAGGAATAGGAGGAGGAGGAGGAGAAGGAGGCATAGGAGGAGGAGGAGGAGGAGGAGGAGGAGGAGGGGAGGAGGAGGGAGGAGGAGGAGGAGTTGGAAGAAGCTGCATGAGCACAGAGAGGACCGCCATCCCACCCAGGAGCGCGCACGGACGAGCTCATCGGGCCGGTCCGTCCACTCCGCGCCCCAGCCGCCCCGCCACGGATGGCGCGCACGGCTGCCGCGGCGGGGAGGGGCGGAGCCGTGTTTGCTGGCTGCTCGCCGTGGAGTCAAGGGGTCCCGAGGGATGTGTTTGCGGGCTGCCTGCTGCTCTCGGAGCTGCTCTCTGTCCGAGCTGCTGGCTTTGTTCTTGGGATACGGTGGCTCTCCGAGCTCCCTTCGCTGGTCTTCGGGCTCCCCAGCACTCTCCGGGCCCTGGGAGCGTCGGAGGCATGGTTTGACGAGCAGTCGGGTGTTGCCAGAAGTGCTCCTGGCGCACGGTGCCCCCCAGCTTCTCGCTCGGTTTGGGGGTCCCCGGGGCCCCGCGGGACTCGGCAGGGGATGCTCTGGTGGCCGTTGGGGGCCTCCTTGGAGATCCTTCGGGCACCGTGGGCCAGGGGCACTTCTGGCAACACCCGAAGCAGGGGGCGACTGGGAGAGGGAGGGGGGTGGGCGAAATCTGTGGCGTGCAGCCCTGAAGCAGGGGGCGACTGGGAGAGGGAGGGCGGGGTGGGCGAGAAATCTGCGGCGTGCGGCCGGCTTCGGCTCCGCGGCCGGGCCCTCGCCTCGACCTCTGGAGCGGGCAGCAGGAAATGGACGTCCGAGCGATGGCCAGTAGGCTGCGTGGAAGATGTGAAAGACTCGGACGGGGCCAGGACGAGGATAAGTCCGTTCCAGAGCTTTCCGGAACGCTCCCAGAGCATTCTGGAACGCTTTGAGGAGGCCGCGGCTCCCGAGACAATCCTCGAGAGCCGCCGGATCTCAGAGATTCTCGATTTGTCCTCGCCCAACTTTCTCCTTGACCTAGCCTCGTCCTGAAGACGCCCTCTGCCCCGACACGGCGGCGAGCGAGGGTGGATGTGAGAAGGAGAAGGCCTTCTCAGCAGGTTCGGAAGCCCCGCGGATGAGTCGCGGGTGAGTCGCGGGGTGGGTCGCAGGATGGGTCGCGGGGTGGGTCGCGGGTGAGTCGCGGGGTGGGTCGCGAGTGGGTCGCGGGTGGTTCGCGGGTGGGTCGCGGGATGGGTCGCGGGGTGGGTCGTGGGGTCGGTCGCGGGGTGGGTCGCGGGTGGGTCATTGGTGGGACGACAACAAACAACACCAACAACAACACCAACAACAACGACGACGGCGTCGACGACAACAACAACAACGCAACAAGCAGAGAATTCTCAGCACGAAATCCTTATTCGGCCACGCACCCAGGGACAATGAATGACCGTTCGGCCCCCTCACTCTGAAACATGGGTATACTATAGGTTCTGGTCGGAAGCGCGCCTCCAATGAGGACATAGAGTATTAGTATGTCTCTGTGCGTTCCATTTCTGGATTCCCAGAACCCAATATATGTCAAGGGCCTTCCTACTTCAATCATCGATGTGGTTTGGCTGTTGTGTGTTGTCCTCTGGGCGGGCCCGACCTCAATCTACTTGATCCGCCTTCCTGCTTCATGTTTCTACCTACTTCTTCCGACCGGCGTGTATGACGGCACGTGTAGTTTCGGAAGGTACTCCATATTTCCGAATACAAAGAGTCGAAAAAGAAGCATCTGCGTAGACGTAAACGTTTGGCGCTCCGCGCGGATTTCTTGGATCTGCGCTGGGCCCCCCCGGCGGCGCCTCCGGCGCCGCCCTTGGCGCGCTCCCGCGCAGATCCAAGACATCCGCGCGGAGCGCCAGAAGGTCTGTGCGCGGCGTGGCTTCTTCTTCTCCTCTGGATGTGACGGCACGAGTGGCTTCGGAAGGTGCTCCAGATCTCGTGGTCAAAAGGGAGGGGTCGCAACGTCGCAACCCTCCCAGGCGAGCCCTGCTGGACCCCCTCGGACCAGGCACGAAAGGGCGGCCTGTGCCCCGGACCCCCCCCCCCGTGGAACCCGCCAAGGCAGGGGCGGGCCCGCGGACGGGACGCGGCGGAAGGTCGGCGGAAGTTGGCGGTGAGCCTCTTCGCCAGAGGGGGAGGCGAGAAGGGCAGCGCGGGGCCAAGACCCCGTCGAGTCAGGGAGCAAGTGACGACGGGGGGCGCTTCGCTAGTTTCGGCCTCTGGGGGCCCTCACTGGGCCTCGGGACCGTGAAAACGCGACTCGGGACGAGAAGCCGGTCCTGGGGAGTGGGAGACCACGGGGGGTCGAGGTTTGGATTGAGTCGGGCCTGTCCTTCTACAGGGGTAATATCCAAAAGTAATCACAAAATAGTCTGGGGGCGATTTTTGGAGTGTTTGTTAATTTGTTTGGGGGATTTTGAGTTTTTATTTTTTTCGCCCACCATCCGCCTGTAGGGGGACATTCTGGAGTCTGGGGCGGCCGCCCCTGCACAGGGCCACCCCCGCAGAGGGGGGGTGCGCGGAGGCGGGGTCGAGGCACAGCTGTCTCGTCATCCTCGCAGCCGCCTGGAGGTCCCCAAAGGAGGCCCCAAGAGGCCCCCAATACGTCTCCAAGGGCAGCCCGAAGGAGGCCCCCAGACACCCCAGACGCCGCCCAGACCGCCCCAAAGCAGCTGAAGCAGCCCTCAAGAGAGCCCCGAAAACGACCCAAGCGGGCCCCGCGACCCCACTGGTTTTACTGTCGCGCCGCGCGTTGCGCACGGTAGACTTGTGGCCCCCCAGCAGAACTTCCCAGTTCTAGATTTGTGGGCCTCGCAAGGGAATGTTCTTCCTCCTCCTGCTGCTGGAGGGCGCGTAGGGGTGGAGTTGGGGCACGCAGATACCCACCTGCCTTTGCTCGCTCTTCGTGGATTGGCATAGTTCCGATACCAGCGCCGTCCACACGGTATGAGGGCCCCACGCAAAATTTCTTGCGCCGAACGATCATTGGGGGTAGCGTGTGTTGGTGGAAGTTGGCGGAAGTGAGTGATGCCCCCAATAGAACACAAGTGTGTGGGGTAGTCGAGAACCTCTGGGCTTTTGACACATCGCAGCGAATTGCACGGGATCCTTGGAAACACCAGAATCCGGGTGGACGGTGCTTGTTGAAGATTGCATGCCGGGCTCGACAGACGCACATGATGGATCCATGCAGATCAGCGTCGACAGCCAAGTTCTTAGGCGAACATGGGAGAGCGATGGTTTCCAGCTATTGGGCACCAACCCCAATGTGTGCAATGGTTGCGCCCCTGATTACGGGGGCCAGCGGATTTACAGAAGACATTGATCACCAGGTAACGAAAGCGTGGGTGTGTTACATGAATTATTCGGGTCTTGTTTCACTCTCACACACACACACACAAGTCGACGTCGACATAATTGGAGTTCCCAGCCAGGAAATCTCTTACACAAGGAGCGACACACGTTTTGAGTGGAGCGGCGCATGATCAGCTGTTCATGATGTTTTCCGAACTTCCTTGAAACACAGAAGTGCTGATGGTGCGTGCTTTGTGAATATATGACCTCGCGGGTCACACACGGGTACATCGAACCGTAGGACATGTCTTGACACCAGACACAGTTCGCACGGACAAGACAGATAGTCAGGCGAGGATCCGCTGACCATCATCGAGCCCCGCATGGAATCATCCGACGTGGATTCGACGTAAGTCCGTGGACCCGACGCCGATTCGACGCGAAGACTTTTTAGCCTTCCCCGACGACACAGAACATTGTTCAGAGTGCCAGAGGGCTCCTGAGAGGCCCCGCCGCCTTCTCAGAAGGCCCCCTCCTGCTCACTTCCCCCCTCGCTCGCCGCCGACCTGTGGCGCTCACCGTCGAGCCCTTCCAGACGCACCTCGGACCCCTGCCCGCCCGACGAGAACGAGACCCACCGCGGCTCTGAGCGGCCGGCGCCGGCGGCGCGGGCCCCGCGCGGGCCTCTCGAGCGCTGGCGAACCGGACCGGCTCATCCTCCTCCTCCTCCTCCTCCTCCTCCTCCTCCTCCTCCCTGCGGGTGTCTAGCGCCTCGCAGGACCTTCGAGGCCGGGTCTGGCTGAGTCTGCTACATGAGAAACCGACGATAGGGAGAGCCATCTTCCCAAGGGCACCCTTCTCGTTGCTTCTTCGGTCCACCCTTAACCACTCTCGATGGCCAGCCCCGCTCGAACAGCTTCGACATGGGCGTCCAAGGGGATTGCATCCTTATCGCGCAGCCTTACGTACTCTCAGTTTTGCATGCAGCGCCCCGCAGGACTCGTGAGGCTGGGATTGGCTGAGCCTGCTAGTCGCCCAGAAGCGCCGTTCGTTTTCGACTGGCCTCCGCGGCTCGCAAGTCGCAAGTCCTCTTGGCGCCCCGGCAAGCGACGCCGACCTACGAAGACGGCGTCGACGTCAACGACAAGGCGGGCGAGGACGATGAATATGACAACACCAAAGTCTAGGCCTCCCAGGTGCATCGACGACGCGGCGCGATCCTCCGACCCCATCTACTCGGACCCCACTGGGGAGGCCTCCACAAAGACAAATGCACTGGCAATGCGGGCGGCGACGCGCCCCGCCCCCGAGGTCCCAGAGGCGAGCGAGCTGCAGCCCTACCTGGACACGTTCCGGGAGCACTGGGACGCCTACCACAGGACGTGGGGGGGCGTTTGCCAGGCGAGTGCGACAACGACGGCGGCGGTGAGGTCGAACCACCATCATCGCCTTGGTCGGGATGCCGCCCAGCAAGGAAGCCTGGCGTGACACCGGCCCGGCGATGACAATCACGGACGAGCGTGAGGTCGAAGAGTGGGGTGAGTAGTAGCAGGTGCAAGATGGGGATCAGGGACGGGGGGAGGATCAGGAAGAGGGGGGAGGAGGAGGAGGAGGAGGAGGAGGAGGAGGAGGAGGAGGAGGAGGAGGAGGAGCCCAAAGTCCAGCTGCCCCAGCCGAGCCCGAAGGACCGGGAGGGGCCAAATTGGCGTGGGCGCCCCCCCAGGATCTCCTGGGGCCCCAGCATTGGTCAGCGCCGAGGAGGAGGAGGAGGAGGGGAGGAGGAGGAGGAGGAGGAGGAGGAGGAGGAGGAGAGGAGGAGGAGGAGGAGGAGGAGGAGGGAGGGGGAGGAAGGGGGGAGGAGGAGGAGGAGGAGGAGGAGGAGGAGGAGCAGGAGGAGAAGGAGAAGGAGCAGGAGGAGGAGCAGGACGAGGAGAAGGAGGATGAGCAGGAGAGGAGGAGGAGCAGGAGGAGGAGGAGGAATTAGGAGGAGGAGGACTAGGAGGAGCAGGAGGAGGAGCAGGACGAGGAGGAGGAGGAGGAGCAGGGTGAGGAGGAGGAGGTGGAGGAGGAGGAGGAGGAGGAGATGGAGAAGGAGGAGGAGGAGGAGCAGGAGGGAGGAGGGGAGGAGGAGGAGGAGAGAGAGAGGAGAGGAGGAGAGGAGGAGGAGGGGAGGAGTGGAGGAGGAGGGAGTTGTTTGAGGCGGAGAACGAGGAGAAGGAGTTGGAGACGGAGGAGGAGGATGAGGAGGAGGGTTTTGAGGAGGAGGAGGAGGAGGAGGAGGAGGAGGAGGAGGGAGGAGGGAGGAGGGAGGAGCAGGAGGAATAATGGAGGAGCGGGAGAGTGGAGGAGGAGGAGGAGGAGGTGGAGGAGGAGGCGGCGGCGAATGAGAAGAAACAGGCGGAGGAGCATCGGAAGGCCCGCTACTTGCAATCATATGTCAACATATCCCTATCCTCATCTCCATCCCATCCAACGTGTTGCAAAAAAATCGGTTCAATTGTGATATCAGATTGTTCAAGTGTGACAAAAACTGTCATACACAACTCCTGCCCTTCCCGCCCACACGCGTGAGCTGAAATACATTCAGGATTCGGAACAGATTCCGCTGAACTCTGACAGCGTTCCGTGGATATAGCGGCTGTATTAGATGCGCGTGTCTTTTCAGGAGATGCATCAGAAGCCGTGTGTTCAGACCTGTCGAAGATTCGGCCTTGAAGAAAACATCCGGATGGCGCAAGCCAGGGGGTGGCTCCGGCTTGTTTCAGTTGGCGGCTGGCTGCCCTGGCGGCGGGTGGTTTGAGTGTTCTGTTTTGTCACGCTCGGTTTGTTTAATCACATTTGGGTCTCCACCATCCCAGTTGGGGATGTGCCCCTCGAAACTCGAAGGGAGCTGCCTATGCCCCCAACTCGGGGACCAAATCGGCCACTGGTGTCAATCCACGCCAGTGGTGATAGGGATCGGTTTAACGATGTCGAATTTGGCTTAGAAACTGGCGTGGAGGAGGCGGATGAACCAGATGAGTATGGTGTAGGAGTATGGGGCCATCAAAAGGAAGGAAGGGTGAGGCTTCCTCCTCCTGCTCGGTCCTTCGCCCCTCCCCTCCTCCCCCCATCTCCCTACCTTTTTCTCATCGTGTTTTCCTCCTTCTCCCCTCCCCCTTTTCTACCTCATGCGAAGCGCAGCATCGGGGACCATGTTATGATGTAGTGGTACGCAGTGCGCCGCGGGATCATCATCCAGCGCGCTCGGCGCGTTTTGCAGAGGTGAGCCCTTGTGGATCTAGGCTCGGCAATTATACTACAGGAGGTCAATCGAGAAAACCAGCCGAAATCTCCGGAACATCTTCAGCAGGAAACTCAACCTCCCCAAACACTTCAAAACAGCTCTAAACCAAAACCTGCGATTATCTCAAGATCTACAAAAACTTCCAACAATCTCTGAGCCAAAACCTGCGAACCTTTCAAACTCTAAAAACATGTCCAAACAACTCAAAACCAAAACCTGCGAAACTGTCAAAATTAGGCCGGAGTTTGCATTTTGAGTTTTCTTTAGAGTATTTTCCAGAGTTGTTTTTTGAGTTCGCCAGGCGGTCAGAACTTTGTTTGGAGTTGTTCAGAGTTGCCCCAGAGTTGTTTAACTAGTTGTGTTAAGAGTTTGTTTCGAGTTGTTTTAGAGTTGTTAGGCGTTTATGTGTTTCTAGTTGTTGTACAAAGCTTTTTAGAGCCTTTTGGGGGTTGAGCTGTTTGGGAGTATGTTTTTTTCTTGAGTTTGTTAGTAATGTGTTTTTAGTGTTCCGTTTTTTTCTGAGTTTTTGAGGTTTGAGATTTCCCCAGGTGTCGGCTCATCTTTGAAAGTTGTTTCTGAAGTTTGAGATGATCGCAGGTTTTGGTTTAGAGATGTTTGAAGTTTTTGTCAGAGTCTGAGCTGTTCGCAGGTGTTGGCTTGAAGTTTTTCTATGAGTTTCAGATTTCCGCAGGTTTTGGCTTAGAGATTTCTTGATATTTTTTTGAGTTTGAGTTTTTGTCGCCCGATCTGACGACGGACCGCCTGTAGTCTCTATTGCCGAACCTAATCGTGGATTCCAAGTCGGTCCAGGAGTCCAGTAAAGTTCCTATCCCTCAGGCCCTCCGTGTGCAGAGGCCCCCAGGGGGAAGAGTACGCCCAGGACAAACCATACTGGACAAACAAGTGCCTATCGCCCACCGCCCTGGGATGGATTGTGCTGAAGACGAGCATGGAGGGGAACAAGCCCGTGAGACGTCTGCCGTAACCTTGGCTCAGGCTTTCGACAGCGATGCATCGGCAAACGTTACCGCGCCAACAAATGCATAGAAGTGCGCATAAGAGGGGCCGAGGTCGCCAATACCCAATAACACCTTGAGCCTCTCAGCGGACAACGCCCACAGGCATCTAGCCACGAGCCTTCACCTCGATCCTGGATATTCCTCCTCCTCCTCCTCCTCCTCCTCCCTCCTCGATCCTCGAGCCTCCTCCTCCTCGAGCCTCCAGCCTCCTCGAGCCTCGATCCTCCTCGAGCCTCTGTCCTCGCGCCTCGCGCCCCGTGCCTCCTCGTGACTGCCGCGGCGCGGCGGGGCTGCCCGGCGCGGCGGCCGGGGCCGGGCGCGCGGCGAGGAACCACCAGGGCAGGGGCTCGCGGCGGGAGCTCGCGGCGCTCGGCGCCGCCGCGGGCGGCGGCCCCGCCGTGCCGCCCGAGTACTGCCAGAGTGGGGGGGGGGGGGGCGGCTCTGCACGGGCGCCTCGAGCTTGGCATCGCTCGGACGTGTGCTTTTTTCCGTCGGCGAGGGCCATCGAGGAGCATCCTTGATCATTTGGCGAAAAAACCACGCACGAAACCGAAAAAAACACAGGGAATGGACGTCCGAGCGATGGCCAGCGAGGGCTCGAAGGGTCGGAAGGTTCGGCGAGGGGGAGTTCTGGCTTTTTTGGCCTCCGCATGGCACCCAGGAGGGGGAATGGCGATGCTGATGCTGAAGATGCGGATGGTGATGCTGATGATGCTGATGATGCTGATGGTGATGCTGATGATGTTGATGAGGATGCTGATGATGTTCATGATGATCCTGATGATGATGATGATGATGATGATGATGATGATGATGATGATGATGATGATGATGACGATGACGACGATGGCGATGATGAGGAGGAGGAGGATGAGGATGAGGACCAGTGTAAGCCCAAGGCGCATCAACGACGTTGCATGACACCTTCCTCCAAGTTTCCGTTCACAGGTCCCTGCAAGAATGCATTGTCATTGCGGTAAGTGTCCATTCGAAAACAGTCCGAGAATCTTCAATCGTGCCAAAAAGCAGCTTGTGTGACGTCAACGCCGAGGATCAACATGACCGCTGCGTCCTGACAATCCTAAATCGTGCCAGAACACAGCTCCGGCGGCTTCAACACTGCGAATCAACGCAACTGATGCGTCATGCCAATCCAACATTGTGCCAGAACGCACTTTTCAGCCATACGAGTCTTTCAAGCTAGCGCAAACTGTTGTGAGACGATTGTGCGCGGCCCTGAGGCGAGAGCCACATTTTGAAAAGAAGCCGCCATTGATCCTTGGCGCTGGTGCTCACTGTTTAGACGAATGTGCGCGGCGCTGGTGCGAGAGTGACATGTTTGGTCTTCCAGCTTGGGAGTTACTGCAAGCTTTTAAAACGAATGCGCGCGGCGCAAACGTGGTAACCACATCTTGAAAACGGACCTCCCCTATCTGTGAAGTTGCTGCAAACTTCGAGGACGAATACGCGTGGCCATGAGGCGAGAACCACATTTTGACACCAGGCCGCCCCATCTGCGAAGCTGCTGCAGGCTTTCAAGACGAGCGCACGCGGCCCTAACGCGAGGGCCACATGATGAAAACGGTCCACCCTACATGCGTTTTAATTGTTGCAGAGCTCAAGCTCCAGGATCACTCATTGTGAGGAAGAAGCTATTTAAACGCCTGGCCCGCCCTACCGACACGGCTGGGGGTGCGACAGGGAGAAGTTGTTTTTGAAGGAGCAGGGAAGGAGGAGGAGCAGGGGGAGGACGAACCCGAGGACGACCCCTGCGTCGGCGCGGCGCGCGTGTGGGGGGGGGGGCCCTCGTGGGTCCTCGGCCCGAGCGTCGAGGATCCAACGCTACGGACTTAATTCAGGAGGGACAAAAAACACACAGACACAATTAGTCGACGATCCCAAGGAAAATATGGGAAAATATAGGAAATGGGGGGGAAGACAAAAACCCAGAAAATATGCGAAAATATGGGGCATTGTTTTATTTGTGTGTACTTGTTTGTGTGTCCCAGGGCCCCTTCATGAATGGAGGAGGAGCGCTTGCCGGCGCGGGATTGGAGAGTCGATGCCGTTCGGAGTGGCGAGGGGTGGGGAGCGGGAGGGCTGCGGCTCCTCCGTGGCCCAGGCTCTGGCCCCAAGTGTGCGCGTTCTCTCCCACCACGCCGACCACGGCATCCCCGATGCGGCGGAGATCGGCTGACCTCCTGCGAGCGCCCCTTTGTGTGTGTGTACACAGCTATGTATACACACATATATATATATATATATATATATATATATATATATTTCTCACTCTCTCCCTCTCTCTCTCTCTCTCTTTCTATATATACATATATATGAGATCCCGGGCCCCGCGGCGCGGGCCCTTGGCCGGGACCTCCCTTGTATTTCGGTGCCCCCCCCCCCCCGGCGGCTTTCCTGGAAGCCCGGGGCCTCTGGGGCGTCCCCGGACCCTCCCCGAGGCTTCTCTGGCGCTTCTATTGGGTTTCTGGGCAGCCCAAGATGGCGCCAAGACGGCCCAAGAAGCCCCCAAGATCCTCCACGACGGCTCCAGAGGCTTCCAAAGACGGCCCAAGAGGCCTTCAGGAGGCACCCCCAAAAAGGCGCCAAGAGGCAAAACTCATTGATTTTCCATAGGAACACGTATACTTTTAGCAGATACACTTTTTCGGCATTCACGGCGTTGAAGACGGTCGAAGAGACCCCATACGATCGCCCCAAGACGGCCCAAGAGGTTCCCACGAGGCGCCCAAGACGGCCCAAGAGGGCGCCAAGACGGCCCAAGAGGCCCCCAAGACGGCCCAATAGGGCCCCAAGGCAGCCCCAAGAGGGGCCCAAGACGGGCAGCCCGAGCCCAGAATCCGAGCCTTCCGCCCCAAAAACCCCCCAGGATCCCCCAACACGCTTCCGAAAGGCTCCCAAGAGGGTCCCAAAGGGCTCCCAAGAGGCTTCCAAGGGGCGCTTAAGAGGCCCCCAAAAGGGCCCCAAAGAGGCCCCAAGAGGCACGGGCGGCGGAAAGTCGGCGAAGGCAGTTTCGATACCATGCCGGGCCCGGCGCATGGGAGGACGGGAGGAGGAGGACTGGGAGGAGGGGGATCGGGAGGAGGACAAGCTAATTAGGTGCGCTCGCGTCATATCTAACGTCCTACCCCTCCCCCCCATCCCTTACCATCCGGGACGGCCCAGGAGGCCCCCAAGAGAGCTCGAAGACGGCCCAAGCAGGGCCCAAGACAGCCCAAGAGACGCCCTAGACGGCCCCAGAGAGCCCCAGGAGGAGTCAAAGAGGGGTCCCAGAGGAGAAAAAACAAATTGAAATTTCGAAACGGAACCCCCCAAGACGGCCCAAGAGGCCCCGAAGCCGGCCCGGGAGGCCCCCAAGACGGCCTCAGGAGGGCCTCGTTCGAAATCATGTTCCCGGAAGCCTCTCCGGGAACATGATTTCCCTTTTCCGAGGACGCCCAAGAGGCCCACAAGATAGCCTTAGCGAGGCCCAAGAGGGCCCGAGATGGCTTGAAGATGGCCGAAGAGGGCCCCAAGAGGCCCTTCAAGAGGCAAACATCGGCCTATGTCCTTTGTAAAACGTACATTTTCAGCATACTCCCTTGCTTCGTCTTCGCAGTGCCCCAGACGCCCCCGCGGAGCCCCAAAACAGCCCAAGGGAGACCCAAGAGGGCCCAAGACGGCCCAAAAGGGTCGTCCTGTGTGACTGACGGAACCCCCCAAGATGGCCCAAGAGGCCCCAAAGCAGGCCCAGGAGGCCCGGCCTCAGGGAGGGCCAAGAGGGCCTCGTTCGAAATCATGTTTCCAGAAGCCTCTCTGGGAACATGATTTCTGGGTTCCCAGGACGCCCAATGACAGCCCCCAGAGGCCCTGGACACGCCGAAGATGGCCTCAGGACGGCCGACGACGCCGGCAAAACGCCCCGAAGCCAAAAATTATAAAGTGTCCCATGGTTTCTGAAGCATTTCTGAGCTCTCCCATGTTCCACCTCCCCACGGTCCCGGACCGCGTCAGAGGCCCTTCAGATCGCTCCAAGACGGCCGAAGAGGCTCCCAAGAAAGCCCAGAGACGGCCCAGGAGGCTCCCCAGATAAGTCAAGAGGGCCTCGAGAGCGCCCCAAGAGAGCCCCAAGAGCGACCCAAGAGTCCCCGAAGAGCGCGACATTTCAAGGTCTCCGGCCTGAGAGGCTCCTAGGACGGCCCCGGAGGCCATCAAGAGGCTCCCAAGAAGCCCCGTGAGGTTCCCAAGAGGCTCCCCGGAAGCCCCAATAGGCCCCCAAGGGGCCCCCAGGGAAGCCCCCTGCGGGCCCCCAAGACACTTCGGTAAATCGTATTTTCCAGATAGCTTTCCGGGAACATTATTCTTCCGCCCACCGCCCCAACCATGTTTCCAATAGGCTTGCCGACAAAACCAAAAGGCGCCCCTCGGTAAGCCACCAGAGGCCCCCCTCTTAAGAGAGCCGAACAAATATTATGCTCCCGGAGAGCTTCCCAGGAACATGATTCTCTATCTCGGAGTAGGCCCGGGGGGGGGGGCGGGCCGCTGCCCGTTCCCCCCATCGGTGCCCACCGAGGGTTGCGGGGGGGGGTCCAGAGCTCCCGAGGCGGCCCGAGCCCGCCCCGAAGCAGGCCACGACAGGCTAAGGGGGTCCCGAGAGGGCCCAAGACGGTCCCACGAGGCCCCGAAGACGCCCAAGATGTCCTCAAGACAGCCGACGAGGACTCCAACACGCTCCACGACGGACTCAAGAGGCTCCCCAAGAAGGCCCTGGAAGGCAAGATTCACTAATTTTCCGAGAGTTTGGGGTTTTGGCGTTCTCGCTTTTCCCGCTTTCCAGCGCTCCCTCACGGCCTCGGAGGCCCTTCACATCGCTCCAAGAAGGCCCACGAGGCCCCGACGACGGCCCCAAGACGGCCCCAAGACGGCCCAAGAGGCTCCCCAGGCAACCCAATTGTGCCCCAAGAGCGCGCTAAGAGAAGGCCCAGAGGGGTCCCGAGGCGGCCCGGGCCCCGCCCCGAAGCAGGCCACGACACGCCAATGGAGGTCCCGAGAGGGCCCTAGACAATTCCAAGAGGGCCCAAAGACGCCCAAGCTGCCCTAGACGGCCGACGAGAACTCCAACACGCACCAGGACGGATTAAAGAGACTCCCCTAGAGGGCCTTGGGAGGCAAGATTCACTAATTTTCCGATGGTTTTTGAAGGATTTAGGCGTTCTCGCTTCCCCCGCCTCCCAGCGCTCCCTCACGGCCTCGCTCGGAGGCCCTTCGGATCGCTCCAAGACGGGCCACGAGGCCCCGACGAGGGCCCCAAGACGGCCCAGGAGGCTCCCCAGACAACCCAATTGTGCCCCAAGAGCTCCCGAAGAGAGGGCCCAGAGGGGGACCTCCAACCGATATTTCGAGGTCTCTGGCCCTATAGGCCGCCTGTAGGCCCCCGGAGGCCACCAAGAGTCTCCCACGAAGCCCCGCGAGGCGCCCAAGAGGCCCCCAGGAAGCCCCAAGAGACCCCCAAGGGGCTCCCAGGGAACGCCCAAGAGGCCCCCCAACACACCCCAAGAAATCTTGCTCCCAGAAAGCATTCCGGGGACATGGTTCATCATGGGCCAGAGAGTTCCTGGAGGCCCCCAAGGGGCCCCCAGGGAACGCCCAAGAGACCCCCCAACACACCCCAACAAACTATGTCCCCAGAAGGCCTTCCAGGGTCATGGTTCATCATGGGCCCGCGAGTCTCCGGAGGCTTCGAAGTACCATCATGCTACAGGAGAGCTGTCTGGGAAGTTGCTTAGGAACATGACTGATCGCCTTCTCGCGGCCCTCCGCAGATCGTTTCGCACAAAGTTGCCCCAAGTGCCTTCTTGAACCGACGACGACGACGAAACGACGAATACGACGACGACGACGACGACGACGACGACAACGACGGCGCGCCCCAATAGGCGACGACGACATTACGACGACGACGACGACGACGACGACGACGACGACGACGACGACGACGACGACGACGACGGCACGCCCCAACAGGCTCCCCAAGACGCCCCCCAAACCCATGCTCCCAGAAGGACTTCTGGGAACCCGATTCATACGGCCTCCGCCCCCCTACACAACCATTTTCTTTGAAGGCCGTTCGGAATGCAGATTGGCATACGTGGACTCTGGTCCACTACTTCAGTGGAGCAGTGAATTCGTCAAGGCCTGGGCCTGCTAGAACCTGAGCGCGCGCGCGAAGCGCGCGCGATGGTTCTAGTATTATATATATATATATACACATATGTACACACACACACGCAAGAGCATCCGTAGCGCATCAGTCTACGTAGGATGTCGCTGACGAGGCCCTGGGCCTGCTCTGGCGCCCACTCGTGCCCACCCCGTCCCGTCTCCAGGGGCTCTGCAGCCCCCCGTGAGTCATCCGTGCTGGTAGGGTGAGGAGACGGTCCCGCGCGCGCCCCCCCCCGCACTGCACGTGCTGCGCCAGGCTCGGTGGGATTCGGGCAGCGTGTCCATGGGTGTTCCTTCTTCCTCTCCTGCTCGAGGCTTGAGGCTTGAGGATCGAGGATCGAGGTTGTTAGAGGTTCCTGTTTTTTCCGGTCGGGGCCTCCAAATGCCCTCCGTGCGCCTCAGAGGGCCTCGTGCCTCAGGGTGCTTGGAAATACCCAGGTATTTCCAGAGACCCACCGCGGGAGGTTTCCGCATTCCTCCCACGTCTGCAGGACGACAGTTACCCCTGAACCCCCACTCTACCCATACTTCTACCCCTGACTGTTTCCCCGACTCCGCACCTTTCTCCCGAGCCCCGAATACCCATTCCCCCCCACCCCTATCCCACGATCCTCTACCCCTAGCTGCATTCCCTCCTCGCACCCGCACCCGAGCCGTACCTGCATCCGGGCCAGTGCCTTCGCCCATGCCTCAGTCCACGGACGGACCCCGAAGACTGACTTTTTGACCTTCCCAGCCCTGCCCCCTCCCCTGACGGCCCACTGACCCAGACCCCCTCGCGTCATGATAAGCACACACGGGAACGCCTCTGAGTCGGGATGACAAGCGGATCCCCGTCAAGGGATCCAGACTTCCAAGGGTCCACGTTGCGAACAAATTACGGCGTCGGAGGTCTAGAGGGGGGAGGCGGAGGTTGATGAGAACGAAGGGAGGAGGAGGAGGAGGAGGAGGACGAGGAGGAGGAGGAGGAGGAGGAGGA